TAACAGACTCAAGCAGGAAAGCAAATGCCAACTTCCAAACCGGTCTAGTAATCGGCTGCCTTGTCCCATAGCATCCTCCCTCACCTCAACAACATTCGGTCATGGGGAACATGCTTGAGTATTTAGAGTACCCAATGGTTAAGAAGTGAAGGGAGAGTAGAAGCAGAGCACTCCCAAGTGGTATAGAGACCTCTCGGTGTCACTGACCCGAAAGCAGCCTCGCCTCCCAAACTTCCTTTTCCACCCTTTTTTTTTTTTTTTTTTTTGAGTGGGAGTCTCACTCTGTTGCCCAGACTGGAGTCCAGTGGCCACTTCCGGCCACTGCAGCCTCGACCTGCTGGGCTTCGGTGATCCTTCTGCCTCAGCCTTCCAAGTAGCTGGAATTACAGGCATGCGCTACCACGCCCGGCTGATTTTTTGTTTTATTGTAGAGATGAGGTCTCACTGCCCAGGCGGGTCTCGAACCCACGGGCTCAGGCAATCCACTCACCTCAGCCTCCCAAAGGCGCGGGATTACAGGCTGAGCCACCGAACCCGGCTTTATTCCACCCATTTTTTTCCGTTAGAGTTCACGAGATCTATCAGCAGTTCCCGTGGGTTAGCAAGCATCTCCTTTTAAAGGAGCAAACATTTCTGGGAGGGCTAAGGTGTCCCCTTTCCTTCAGACACTAGGTGCTGGTAGTGTTCTGAGCACTTACAAGTATTAACTCACGTGGTTTTCATGATCGCCCTGTGAGGTAGATACTACTATTACCATCCCCATTTTAAAGCAAGGAAACCGAGACCGGAGGAGGTAAAGGTGTCAGGGCTAGTAAATTGTGGACCAGGATTTGGACCAGGCAGTGTGGCTCCTGGTTTGGTGCTTATAACTACTGTACCGTGTTGCCTACTTAGAATTATTAAACATATCATTGCAAGAGCTACTTCGTATATGTGAAGTAACTCCCCTATTGTTTTTGGACATTTAGGTTATCCTAAACATTTCAATTTTAAAGTGTCAGCCTGTCATATTTCTAAGTTAGGAACTGCCTAACTCATAACTCTATATTAAGTGTAGAATAAAGCTAGAGATTTTGTTTCTGAGTCATTTGTTGTGCATAATTTTAGACAATAAAAAGAGGAAAATTTTTGACTTTCAAAATTAGGCACGGGAAAGAACACCTTAAGAGTCATATCTATGAACTTGGCAATCATGCTTTAGGTTCATGTTTAGAGACCCTCTTCCCATAATTATCTAACTTTAGATTAGGAAAGAAAAGCACGATGTGTGGTAAACAAGCTAGACCGGCTGATTGGAATTTGTACTCTCATGGAATCCTGAGTTTAGTTTTTTGGTTTACAGAAGTATATATTGAGTAAAGAGGACTGGTTAGGAATCATGAGATGTAGGTTTCAGCCTTGGCTGTGTCAGATCCTGACCTTACTGGACATCATTTTCTCATCTGTGAAGCAGAGGAGTTGGGCCGAACTCGAAGCTCTTCTAGTTCTAGATTTCTTTGACTCTGAGGCTCTTGTGTCCATTGATTCAAGTTTCTGAGTTGGCAAATGCACATTATCCTACCTATCATACCAACCCCATCTATTGATAGAGGGGTTAATCTTGCCCAACACAACATATCTTACAAATTGCATGTGCTCCTTGTCCCGCTGCTGGGAACTTTAATTTAAACAGAAATGTGAACATTGAGGTGTTTAATTGTGCAGAATCCTCACAAATGGGCCTTTTAAAACCTGCATGCTTTAGTGAAAATGCATCGAGCCTGGATAGGGGTCAGGGCTTGATGGGAAGACTGATCAGCAGCTGAGGTATGTTGTTCCTGGAAAGTCTGGGAACTGGAATTAAGGTCTCTACACTCAGGCTGGTGGTCTTTCCATAGCTCTTTGACTCATTCATTCATCATTTAGAAAATCTTTTTTAAAAATCTAGATTTATTTTTAAAATAGAAAATACATTCACATGTTTTCAAAACTCAAAAATTACAAAAAATCTCACACACACACACTCATATACACACATTCTGCCCTTTGATATCCAGTTTCCATCTTTTTAGGCAAGTAGTGCTCGTTGGGTTGTGTATACATCATTCCAAAAATTCTTTTATGCCTAGTCAAGCAAATATATACGTTGCTATTCACCTTTTCTCTTTCTTTCTCTTTACTTTTTTGAGTCAGTGTCTCACTCTGTTGCCTTGTCCCATAGCATCCTCACTCACCTCAACAACATTCGGTCATGCTTGAGTATTTAGAGTACCCTATGGTTAAGAAGCTGGGACTATAGGTACGCACCACAGTGCAGTGGCACAATCATGGCTCACCACAGCCTTGACCTCCTGGGCTCAGGCAGTCCTTCTGCCTCAGCCTCCTGAGTGGCTGGGGCTACATCCACACACCACCACACCCAGCTAATTTTTAAATTCGTTGTGGAGATATGGTTGTATTATCTCACCTAGGCAGGTCTCGAACTCTTGGGCATAAGCAATCCTTCTGCCTTCGTCCTCCAAAGTGCTAGTATTACAGGTGTGAGTCACTGCACCTGGCTTCCTCCTTTGTCTTTCTATATGAATATTAACATACTCTTCACACTGAGTTGTACCTCATTTTTTCCTAACATTTAAAATGACTCCATATTGGTAACCAAAGAGCATCTTCATCAGTTTTATTGCTAGAGAATATTTTGTTAAGTGGATATATTGTTATTTGTTTAACCAGTCATATAATGATGGACATGTAGGTTGTTTTCAGCTTTTTGATATATCAAACAATGGCAAAGTCAATACCTCGTACATATGCCATTTTGTACATGTTTGAATATATGTGTAGGATAAGTTCCTAGAAAAAGAATTTTCTGGGTTTAAAGGTAGATGCATTTGTAATTTTGATAAATATTGTGAAATTGCACTTTAAAGAGGTTATACCAATTTACATTCCCACCAGCAACATATGATATTGATCATTTCCCTATATTCTTTTTTTAAATTTTTTTTTTTTTTGAGACAGAGTCTCACTCTGTCACTCAGGTTGGAGTGCAGTGGCACAATCCTAGCTCACTGCAGCCTTGACCTCCTGGATTCAAGTGATCCTCCCATCTCAGCCTCCCTTGTAGCTGGGACTATAGGCACATGCCACCAAGCCTGGATACTTTTTAAAGTTTTTTTGTAGAGTCAAGGTCTTACTATGTTGCCCAGGTTGGTCTTGAACTCCTAGGCTCAAGCAGTCCTCTTACCTTGGCCTCCCAAAGTACACGGACTACAGGTATGAGCCACTGCAGCTGGCCCTATATTTTATTTTTTGAAGAGAGATAGGGTCTCACTGTGCTGCCCAGGCTGGTCTTGAATGCCTGGCCTCAAGTGATTCTCCTTCCTCGGCCTCCCAAAGTGCTGGGATTATAGGTGTGAGCCACTGAACCTGGTCTACTCTTAAAAAAAAAAAAGAGGGTAAGTAAGCTTATTTTTTAAGTTATCTGTGGGAAATGCATTCAAAATCTCAAATATAAGTATTTTAATTATAAACATATATATGAAGATCTTTTTATCCTGTCTTCCAGTCCTCCTTCCCATACGTAGCACCAGTTTATTAGTTTCTTGGTGTATCTTGGAGATATGTTATGCATATAAGAGAATCGATTTTATATTCATTTTCCCCTTGTTCAAAATCTCAAGATTAAAAATCTCAATAAAATCCTTCAGCTTTTTTTTTTTTTTTTTTGAGTTGGAGTCTCACTCTGTCACCCAGACTGGAGTGCAGTGGCCACTCCCGGCCACCACAGCCTCACCTGCTGGGCTCCAGTGATCTTTCTGCCTCAGCCTTCCGAGTAGCCAGAATTACAGGCATGCGCTACCACGCCCGGCTGATTTTTTGATTTATTGTAGAAATGAGGTCTCGCCTGCCCAGGCGGGTCTCGAACCCACGGGCTCAGGCAATCCACTCACCTCAGCCTCCCAAAGGCGCGGGATTACAGGCTGAGCCACCGAACCTGGCTAAATCCTTCAGCTTTTTATTCTTATTTTTTTGAGTCGGGGTCTCACTCTGTTGCCCAAGCTAGAGTGCAGTGGCACAATCATAGCTACCGCAGCCTCGACCTCTGGGCTCAGGCCATCCTTCTGACTCAGCCTTCCAAGTAGCTGGGACTATAGGCACACGCCACAATGCCTAGCTACTATTACTATCCCCATTTTAAAACAAGGAAACTGAGACTGGAAGAGGTAAAGAGATTCTCTCAAGGTTTCAGGGCTAGTCAATGGCAGAACAGGATTTGAACAAAGCAGTGTGACTGGTTTTTTGAGAGACGAGGTCTTGCTATCTTGTCCAGGCTGGTTTCAAACTCCCAGGCTGAAGCAATTCTCCCACCTTGGCCTCCCAAATTGCTGGGATTACAGGTGTGAACCACTGTGCTTCGCCCTCTTCAACTTTTAAAAGAGAAGTTGTATACTGCTTTGAGTTCAAATAGAAGACTTGAAAATACAAATTTTCCATATTCGTACAAACTGACTTTATTCAATACAAAATATGCATTCTTCCTCTGTTACTCTCCATACATGTTTTAGTTGTGGTTCGTGGTTCTGAGGTCTGAATTCACCATTACTGCCTTGCTTGTCTCTGGTCTAGAGGCACTCAGTGTTGAACAACCATATGAATGAATGAATATGATAAGCACTTTGTGAACACAGGAGCAGCTCCTGAAAGGGCTCACTATTTAACTAAACTGCTTAGGGTTGGCATGTCATTTCTAGTCCTCTTGCTTCTTTTTAAAGAAATTAAAAGCATTAAAGGGTAACAAAAGTGGTAGACCTTAGTGGAAAACACTTTTCTGGGAAAAAAGTAAAGAAAAACAACTCTGGTTCTCGACAGGGAGCGTTCTTGCCTTGGGGACCAAGGGGCCACTCCACCAGCACTCTATAAACCTTGGCAGAGAGTAGAAGCAGTGAGAGCTGGCTCCAAGGTTTCATCCTTGAGGGACGCAAGCTACATTTTTCTTCATCACATTAGTAAACGGACAAGACATGCTCAGGCTTTCACTCGCCCTGAAGCAGAACGGTGGGCAGGAAATGCAGGAAGAAGGCTGTGCTGGTGTGTTGGGGGCATTTCTGACCGTTGCTTCAAGTTTCAGGAGCATGAGCAGACAAGACCTGTGGCTGCTGGTAGAGTGGGGGGAGGTGCCTGCCTATCCTCACCACGGTTGCCTGCCCTCATCTGCCCGCTGTTCCCTGGATGCTGAGATTCCAAGTAGGGAAAGGAGTGAAAACCAGTGCAGGGCTTGAAGGGTGCATGTTGCAAGCAGAGAACACCCTTTTTATATCCTGGCAGAGGCATCTGGGAAGGAGACTCGGAGGAGCAATGGGCCCAGAGGCTGCAGGTGCCTGCTGGAAGAAACCATGAGTTAGTCTCTATTAGTCTCTATTTCTATGCTCGCTTGGAGAAGCAAAGGGTGCATTAGCTCTGTAGTGACAAGCAAGATGGCCCACCAAGCCATCAGGGCTCCAGCAGAGAGCCCTGGGGTGACTTGTTCTGACGGGTCTTTGATTTTGCTAAAGCTGGGTGTCCTTCCTAAGGCTAGCCAGAGCCAGAGGCATTCTTCCGGGAGAGAAGGGGAGTCTGGGCCTTGATCTGTAAGTATTGAAGTTGTTTTAAAGAAACAGTTCCAGGATTTTTATCTTTTGGCCGGGCGTGGTGGCTCAAGCCTGTAATCCCAGCATTTTGGAAGGCCAAAGAGAGAGGATTGCCTGAGCTCAGGGGTTCGAGACCAACCTGGGCAACTTGGTGAGACCTTTTCTCTACAATAAATTAAAAAATAAGCCGGGTGTGGTAGCACGCACCTGTAATTCCAGCTACTTGGAAGGCTGAGGTGGAAGGATCGCCTGAACTCAGCAGGTTGAGGCTGTGGTGTCAGTGAGCGTGCCACTGCATTCCAACCTGGGTGACAGAATGAGACTCCAACTCAAAAAAAAAAACAAAACAGTTCCAAGTTTTATATCTTTTACCCACCCCCCAAGAAATTGAAAATGAGGAAGCCGGGCTCACCGGCTCAGCCTGTAATCCCGCGCCTTTGGGAGGTGAGTGGATTGCCTGAGCCCGCGGGTTCGAGACCCGCCCGGGCAGCGAGACCTCATCTCTACAGTAAATTAAAAAAAAAAAAATTAGCCGGGCATGGTAGCGCGCGCCTGTAGTTCCAGCTACTTGGAAGGATGAGGCGGAAGGATTGCTGGAGCCCAGCAGGTCGAGGCTGCGGTGGCCGGGAGCGGCCACTGCACTCCAGTCTGGGCGACAGTGAGACTCCAACTCAAAAAAAAAAAGAAAATGTGAAAATATGGAAATAAGTTTGGAGCTGAGTGGAATATGACCAATTGACTTGGGGAATTTTTTGTTGCTTGATTTATGAGGTTTGTTATTTCAAGAATCACTTTGAGCATAAGCTATTGCTCTCTGACCATTATCTTTTGTTTTTGTTTCCTTAATCATATCAGCTTACTAAAAATCCTTTTTCCTCAGCTTTCTTTATATTTTCCTTCCTTTTCCTTTTGGGATTTCTGTTGGATCTGTAATTTAAACAGAGCATGGCACTGAAACCATTTCTGCCTTGTTTATTCTTTTTACAAACTGCATCCCCTCTGTGGATTTAGTTAGAGATTTGCACTATTTACTAATCAACACCAAAATAAATAGACCCTTATAACTGTCAGTGACACAGGCCAGTTCTGCAGCCTGAATCCGGAAGGGCCGGGCCAGATGGCACAGCCCGGCCCCACACACATAATGTGTGCTCTGTAGCTCTTGGCTCCGGCAGTGTGGGCAGCTGACTGCCTTTTAGAAGGCTTTGGGGGAGTGAGCAGATTTTCCACTATCCATTTGTTCCATAGGCATCTCCAGGAATAAGCCCTAAGGTGGCATGAGTGGCACTCGACTGTGGTTACAACCTATCGTGTACTAGCCAAGGCACAGGCTGGAAACCCTGGACTCCTGCTAGGCCATCGGCACAGCCTGGGATTGTGTTCTGATCCCGAAGCTTCTCTTGGGCTCTCTGGCTTATAGGGGGAGGGCTGCCCATTTTCCTGAATTTCCAAGCGCGGCAGCAGGAGGTGTTGCGCACATTTGTGGGTGCGGTGAGGATATTTGCCTCACTCCAGTGAGGCTGACTGGATGCAGCCTTCCTTCCAGTTATCTTGACCCTGTTGTGGTTAGGAGAGAAATAGCATTCATCATGTAGCAGTAGTTCACTTAGCCCCTGGAGGGTTTATTATACGAATGTAGCCAAAATATTGTGCTCTGAGCTCCCAAACAGATAATTAATCGATAGACTGCCTGGGCCTCTGATGGAATTGTAGGAGTTTCTCATGTGGGCTCTGCCATCCTCTTTTCCTCAGCAGGAGGTTGGTTCTTCTTGTTTAAGCTGTTGAGACTGTGCTCCAAGTGTTTCCTAGGTCTGCAGAGGATGGAAGAACTCACTGGACCAGATAAGCTGTGATGTGCAACCAATATGTAAACAAGGGTCTCTTGTCAGTTGTGTCATGGAAGGAGCCCAGAAACAAGCCAGGTCTTCCACTGGGCTTGCAGACATTTTGCCTTTGTGGAGAGAATCCTCAGTGGTCTAATACAATCTTAGGAGGAATTTGTTTTGAGCGAGGATCTGGCTTATGGAGGAAGAGACAGCCACTTGTGGTAGCCAGGGAGGAGCACTTGGACTTTCCTGTACAACATATAGGACCCTGTTTGTTTCCACACAGTCTCTGGACATGGAAAGTGATGTTTAGAATGGGAATCGTTTGGCATTCTGTAGTATTCACAAGGGCACCCTTATTTTTTCTCTTGATTCCCATTGATGTCTGGTTACCGTCCAGCCCCTGAAGCAGGCTCTGTGTTCTGAGCTAAACCGAAGTGTTGGGTTGGAACCAGCATAGCATTTGCCTGTTTACTGCTTCCTTACTTCAAATAGTGTTTGAACAGACCAAAAACACATTTTGGGCTGTCCTCCAGAGTTTGGCTTCCGCTTCCCAATAATACCATAAAAGTGCTGTCACTCAAATCCTTGGGAGCTGAGAGAGCAGATTCCCTCTCCATATGATTGTGGGTAACAGGGGCAGGCTTCAGCTGCCCACCTGGCCTAGTGCCCATGGCCTTGGAAGCCTGATCACAGAAAGTCTTGGCAGTGCTTCTGGTGACCGGCATGGATTCCTGCCTGAGATGAATGAGCCTTCCATCTGGGGAAGTGTGCATACAGCATCCATCTCCACTGGGGCTTTTGGATTTCATAGAATGTTATCTTTACATATTCTGCTAGGTTACCAATGAGTATACTGCATGCTGTGAAGGCTTTGAGCCCTAGGACCAGTTTTCTATAAGTAAATTTCTCGTGTTAATCATGGGAAGAATCCTTCTTTGATTTGATGTGTGTGTGTGTGTGTGTGTGTGTGTGTGTGTGTGTGTGTGTGTGTGTGTGTTGCATTGAGAGCAATGCCCCCTTTCCCAGCCTGGATATTGGAACATCCTTAGGATTCAGGGTCCCAACTGGAAGGAGATAGCACCTTCACATTAGGTTAATTTAGGGAGGACTTATTTACAAAGATACTATTAAAACAGGTGTGAGAGTGTGGGGCAACACAAGGGTGTAGTGTAGTCACCCAGTGGAGCTGTTACTACCCCCATACCAGAAGAGAGGAAAGGAGTGAGCGAAGGAGAGGCTGCGCCCAGAGAAACCTTCGGTAGAGACTGATGTGGCCAGGCTAAAATCCTGGGCAGCCTCTTCCTCTCTTCTCCCTGCCCACCTCCTGCCTGACCTCCCCACTGGCTGAGTCCTGTCCGAAACCAGAACACCCAAGTGTCCTTAGATTTGGTCCTCATGGACCAGCATCCCAGGGGAGAGCACTGGACTGAGAAGGGAGTGGAAGGCACTTGGCATGTACCTTAGCGTAGATATCCAGTTATTCCTGGGAGAGGCTTACAAATCCCAATGGAAAACTTAAACTCACTTTTATTTTTAAGCAGCTTTATTGAGGTGTGACTGCCATGCAATAAACTGCACACACAGTACACAATTCAATAAGCTTTGATAGGTATAGACTTGTAAAACTATCACCACATCAAGATCATGAACTTATCCATCACCTTCAAAATAAACGCACCTTAACTTAAAATTTAAGATATTCTATATGGTACTTTTTAGGATGTGGAAAGACATCATAAAATCAACAATGGTGGATATAGTTCCTAACTTACTACAGTGATTGAAGCTGGTGAGTCACTGCCAGGGGTTACCAAGCTAGTAAGTGATAGAGCTGGGATGGGAGGTTCATTCCCTGAGCTTCGTGCTATTCTGCTTTAACTTGGAAGGCAGACGTATCACGCACAGACACATTTTAACTGGTTACTAGTAACGAATTGCCTACTCTTCACCTTATAGCTGATGGAAACAATAGACGTGGCTGGCTTGAGACCTAGCATCCTCACCTTTCATGTCCTCAAAGCTCATTTATCCTGGTGCTGGAGAAGGCTCGTGTCTGCACAGCGTAATGTGAGACCCAGCCTAGCTTCACATGAAGAAGAGCCCCTGTCTGGCCAAACAAGGACAGGGAGGGAGGAGGGGTCATGCTCTAGGGAATATGGGCTGGGCAGCTAAGAAGGGAAGCCCCTGGGGACACCCTGTTGTGCCCTAGCAGCAGGTACAGTGGCACCCAGCAGCACAAGGGCCATGCTGGCTTCGGTGTCAGCCTTCTGAACTCACCAGGCAAGTTCAGGTCTCAGGGCCTTTGGCCATTTTCCATTCCTGTGGGCTGGATTACTCTTGCTCCGGATTTTTTGCAAGGCTCACTGGTGAATGACTGCTCAGGTATCTCCCCCCCACAGAGAAGCTGTCTTTTGCCATCCCCTCACACGTGTTACCTGCGTCACTCTCTCCTTCTCCTTCTTTATGTTTCTTCACAGCAATGATCACTATTGGACATTAGAGCATCAGTTCTTAAACTTTTTGGTCTTAGGACCTCTGCATGCTATTAGAAATTATTGAGGACTCCAAAGATCATAGATGTTTGTGGGTTATAACCATTCAAAATTTATTCTATCATAAATTTAAACAAATTATCATTTTTATTCAATGAGAAACAGCAATAACAAACCATTGTTAACATACAAACAATTTGTGAAAAGTAACTGTGTTTTCCAAAACAAGATAACTCAGTGAGAAGAGTGGCATTCTTTTACCATTTTTGTACATCTTTTCTGTTCACAGAAGATAGCTAGGCTGTTGCATCTGCTTCTGCATTCATCTGTTGCAAGAAGTATTTTGGTAAAAGTTGAAGAAGAAAATTTGTCTTCACAAAGATGTATAGTTGGGAAAAGGAAGAGATATCTTAATAGCCTTTATATATCGTTGTGGATATTTTACTTGAAATTATACCAAAACTCAACCAGTGGTCATTTCTTCAAGGTTAGTTGTTGTGTAGACCTTACGCCCTGAGCATGCTTGTGTGAGGCACTCCCAAACAACAGTAAGATGGCCACTTTTTTTTAAAGGAAAAGTTGATCGCTGTCTTTTGAGATTATGGTTTACATAAAGTGGAATAAGAAAGGCAAAGTGTAAGTTTCATCATATGGTTAAATAACTCTTAAAAATCACCAAGTCTTCAAAGATTACAGAAGCCCCTTCTAATCCAACACTAGCTTCTCGTGTGCCCAGAACTGGAACACCTTTTTCTTGATAGAATCATGCTTCACATTACTGCTACTTTTGTGAGGCCAGAAGTGACAACTTAAATTAATAGTTTTTAACATAGTGCCTTGATAAATATTTGTTGAAAAATATCTAACATTTGTTGGAATGCTTTCATTCATCCTTTCAAATCCTGTTTGTGTTACGTTATTTGAATAAGAGAATCCTGCCATTCAGAAATCTCCTCAGCCAGTACAGGCATAGAGTTAAGCATCCAAGCCAACAGGTATGTCCAGTACGTTAGGTGGGTACTTATCCGCTTGCTCACGCCATTAATCTATAATTTTGTGTTTATCTCTTTAAGATCCACACGGGTTTACAGCATCAAATCATCTGGCCCTGTCAGCCCAGCTGTGTTCCTCTAGATGAAAAACTCCTGCCTCAGCTCCTAAAAGAAGCAGGCTATACTACCCATATGGTCGGAAAGTGGCACCTGGGCATGTACCAGAAAGAATGCCTTCCCACCCGCCGAGGATTTGATACTTTCTTTGGTAATGGAAACGCGCATGTTTCTTTAACAGCTCAGACGACTGCAGCCATCTTGTGAAACACACCACGTGCGATCAATGAAGTAACTGGAGACTGAGCACAGTAGAACCAGTGGGCACCCAGTGGCCGCGTTCTCATGTTACCTCTGGGAATGACTCTGTGCCCACAGCAGAGCCATCACCTTTGTCAGACTGCCAGGTGCCCCCTGGGAGCCGTGGGAGGGCTTACTGGTCTCCAATGAGGCCAGCCTTATTACCAAAAGGGGATATACATTGGTTTTTTTTTTTAAAACAAATTCCAGGCAACACCTAATGGAAGAATATTTTCTTCACAAGGGTTTGAGATATTTTTTTCTGCCCAGGATTGTATTCAAAGGTTTTTTTTGTTTTCTGATTTTTTTCTGGGTAGACCTGAGGAAGACTTTTCCACTGGCTTCTTCTCCCAACTGTGAGATCTGTTTTTGAAATCACTAGGTTGGAAAGATAGATTTTTAAAAATAAAATGAAATGTGGAGGGCAAATAACAAATGGTAATAGGAAGGACAGTAAGAAATAAGAAGTATTTTATAAACTTGAGAGTCCTAGAACAATAAATGTAGAACCCAGAGTTTGCTTAAAAATGGGCCCTCTGTATACCCGCCAAGAACCGTGCTTTAATAACCTATTTATCTTGCCTATAGCTATGCATCTTTCTGTCAAGTTCTTTTTATATTGAGCTATCTTTCTGTCTAGCTATTTAGCTACCTACCTACCTCCAATCTATTTCTTCATTTATTTACAATCTGCCATAGCCAAAAGGAACACATATTACACACAAAAAATTTTAAATGGAATAAAAAGTCAAGGTAAGTAGAACAAAATGGGACAGTTTAATAGCACCAAGTTACAAAAACAGCTGCATGGCTCAGGCAGGCTTCACACTCACCTCTAAGATTTGAGATTTCTTTGTCCAAAGCAGAAAAAAAAGTTGCATTATTTACAAGATAAATGGAAACCAGATATTCAGGAAGAGTCAAGCATTTTCTGGCTCTTAGTCCTGAGAGAAGTTTCTTCTTTGGGAGGTAAAATGGACGACATCCTTAAAAACATCATTTTAATGATAAAGTGATGGTTTTCTTATAAATGTTTCTTGAGGTTTTCTCTTCCATTCAAGCTCAGGCTGAAACACTAAAATGCAGTTGAAACACACGGCTCCAGTAATGCCTTGTTGGGTCAAGGGTTAAAATCTAGATTCAAGAATGCCAGACAGGACAGCACGTATGCCCCTCTCCCAACCACGTCCTAAAGCAGACATTATTAACCAGTCATAGCATTTTCTTCTTAGTTAACTTGGGTATATTCTCAGTATCCTTAAATAGCTGTTAAGAATCAGACTTGGGTGTAAGATCACTTTGTCATCTTGCAAATGGCCTGGACTTCCTTTGAAGTTTTTCAATCAGGCCTTTGCTGAAAGATGAATTGATACCTGTACTCTAGCAAGAGGATAGACTATAGAGATTTTGAACTTTTTATTAAAACCAAGTTATGTACCGTACTTAAAAATTCAACTGAGCTGGGCTCGGTGGCTCAGCCTGTAATCCCGCGCCTTTGGGAGGCTGAGGTGAGTGGATTGCCTGAGCCCGCGGGTTCGAGACCCGCCTGGGCAGCAAGATCTCATCTCTACAATAAATCAAAAAACCAGCCGGGTGTGGTAGCGCATGCCTGTAATTCCAGGTACTCAGAAAGCGGAGGCGGAAGGATCGCCGGAGCCCAGCAGGTCGAGGCAGCAGTGGCCGGGAGCAGCCACTGCACTCCAGTCTGGGCGACCGAGTGAGACTCCAACTAAAAAAAAAAAAAAAAAATTCAGCTGGACTGAAGATAAAAATGATATCTTTTTATGAGAATTAAGAAAGCTAACCTGGACTTAGATGAACAGACATACACCCCACATTTATATGAAGGGAGACTTGCAGCCCAGAAGGGTGTGACGACCATGTAGCTAGTCGACTGGGACGATTCAGATGTTTGCTGAAGCGCAGTCAGATGATTGTGGGATTATTGCACAACCCTGTGCACACATTAAAAACCCTGTGAACTGTACACATTAAGTGGGTGACCTGTATGGTATATGAATCAAATCTCAATGTAATTATTAAATAAAGCAGTCAGAGATTTTGTTGTTCAAGAAGTATTTTCTAATTTTTCCCTCAAAGTCATATGCTGCCATCATCTTTAGACTCAATATATAAGTTCAAATTTGTGAGTCAGTTATGGTGAAAAGCTCTGTATGATTGTCATATGGTTGGTTGGTATTAGTTTTTTCCAAGTGTGTGTGAAATAGTTTTGTTTTGTTTTTTGAGTTGGAATCTCACTCTGTTGCCCAGACTGGAGTGTAGTGGCCGCTTCCGGCCACCGCAGCCTCGACCTGCTGGGCTCCGGCGATCCTTCCGCCTCAGCCTTCCAAGTAGCTGGAATTACAGGCATGCGCTACCACGCCCGGCTGATTTTTTGATTTATTGTAGAGATGAGGTCTCGCTGCCCAGGCGGGTCTCGAACCCGCGGGCTCAGGCAATCCCCTTACCTCAGCCTCCCAAAGGCGCGGGATTACAGGCTGAGCCACCGAACCCGGCTTAGTTTTATTTTTGGATTCTCCTATTTGTAATATCTTTTTAATATTTGTAGTTCAGACATTTTCTTTTCTTTTCTTTTTGAGTTGTAGTCTCACTTTGTTGCCCAGGCTGGAGTGCAGTGACACACTCATGGCCACCCCAGCGGCAACCTGCTGGGCTCCAGCAATCCTTCTGCCTCAGCCGTCCAAGTAGCTGAAACTACAGGCCCACTCTACCACGCCCAGCTAATTTTTTTGATTTATTGTAGAGACAAGGTCTCGCCAAGTTGCCTGGGCTGTTCTCAAACCTGCAGTCTCAGGCAATCCAGTCGCCTCGGCCTCTCAAAGTGCTGGGATTACAGGCTGAGCCACTGAACCCAGCCTCAGACATTTTCAGTTAGGTATGTCCGGTATTCTCCTATCAGACATAAAATAGCTTACATTTACAGTTAAAGAATCTGAAGTGATTTCTTCAAGCTCTAATACTCAATAGTTATTAAAAATCCAAAATAGAACTCTAGTGTCCTGACCACTCTAATCACCCATATAAGAGCAGAAATTCTTTTTATGGATACATTTCTGTCTTTGTTACACATTCATTAATAAGCACTCTAGATATCCCTTTCTGTATAGGAGAAAAGATCACCATATAAAAAGTTATCTTAAGACCAAGGTATTAACTCTATTCAGGACCTTGAATTTGGTGGGTTATGGAAAAGGAGGTTTTAATTTAAAATGAATTGATTTATTATATAAGCTATATAAGGCTCATAATTGTCATTATAGGGAAAGTTCAGGAGTGGGGAAAGGGCTAGGTCAATTTTATTATCCTCATTTTAAGGCTAATAAGCAGTATATGTCAGGAGATGCCTAAGACTCCAGCAAAGCATATTTCTTTTTAATAGCTTTACCAAAGTGTAATTCACATACCATACAATTTGCCCAATTAAAGTGTACAATTCAATGATTTTTTAATAAATTCACAGGGCTGTGCCAGTATCATCACAATCCAGTTGTGGAACATCTTCCTCACCCCCCAAAAGAAACCCATCTTCATTAGTAGTTATTCACCATTTCTCCCTACCCCTCCAGCCCCAGGCAACCACTGAGCTACTTTCTGTCTCTTTTGATTTGCCTACTCTAGACATTTAATGTAAATGGAAACATATGCAGCACGGCTTATTTTCATATTTTAGAAAAATATGGAGCATTTACAGAAACAGCTATTTGTTGAGAAAGCCCATTTTATTCCATGTTGAGTCTAAATTGTGGGATGGGAGTTGATGCCATTTAAATTTGGTACAAAATTGAGATCACTATTGGTAGAAAAATCTTATTTCTGTGCTGCCCTTTAGTTTGATCCTTTGGCTCCGCTAAGTTATATCTAGAGATCCTCTATTTGGAAAGGTTTGTATCTCTCGCCAGTGGGTGTCAGCATCTGACTAAAGATGACTCCTCCTAGGGCTGCTTCTGCAAATAACCTTGAAGTCAGTCTTCCAATGTCACGAACAGCAAACAACATTGAATCCTGCACTCATTTTTGTGATCATCTTAGAATAAAAACTTGTAACAAATCACATTAACTATGTATTACTTTTGCCATTATACAACTTTAAAGGATTAACATGTTGTCATTTTTACTGTACTTGAATTCTGGCTTGTTTAAAGCATATTTACAGGAAATCACCTATTGTGAGAGTTGCATAATAGAGCCCGTGTTCTAAAGACTTGAATGACGAATGGATTTGATTTTTTATACAATAATGCTTTAATGCCTTCTGTTACCATATATAGAGATGTTAAGAAATGGTGCTCTGATTAGCCTTGTCATTTGATTAGCCTTGTCATGGGTAATCAATTGCATTCGTCAATTAAATGCTGAAACATGAGTTTGTTTAGCAAGTTTTATGCTGACTTCATCTCCCATTCTTGTTGTAGGATATCTCTTAGGTAGTGAAGATTACTATTCCCATGAACGCTGTACATTCATCAACGCCCTGAATGTCACACGATGTGCTCTTGATTTTCGAGATGGTGAAGAAGTTGCAACAGGGTATAAAAATATGTATTCAACAAACATATTTACCAAAAGGGCTACAGCCCTAATAGCTAACCATCCACCAGAGAAGGTAAGTCTTGCTTCTTAAATGAGGTCAAAAATCTCGTAAGCTAACACCTCTTCAGATGACTATAGGAAAAGGCCACTGTTGTTTAGGGAAACATCTAATATTTTAGTTATTTTCAAATTTTAGACTACATCAGGATCAGCTTGGGAAGCTTGTTAAAAACAGAGATTCCTGGAGTCTACCTCTAAGCATGTGATTTGTTCAGTATAGGAGAAAGCCATACGTGGGTTTCTTTTTTAAAGAAACTCTTAAAAGTTTATTTTATTAGCTAGGCGTGGTAGCACACGCCTGTAGTTCCAGCTACTTGAAAGGTTGAGGCGGAAGGATCGCTGGAGCCCAGCCATTCAACGCTGGGGTGGCCGTGAGAATGCCACTGCACTCCAGCCTGGGCAACAGAGTGAGACTCCAACTCAGAAAAAAAAAAGTTAATTTTCATGAAAGTGGTACCCAGATCACACTTTGAGGAATACTGTGCCTATAGCGTTTCAGTACAAATAGAGTTTTTAAAAGTTTTGGTATATTATGTGCACTGTGAATAATTAATAAAATGACTCTTTTAAAAATGATTGGCTTATGTATAAGATGAGGCTTTTTTTATGTTTTGAATTGGAGTCTCTGTCACCTAGGCTGGAGGGCAGTGGCACACTCCTGACTACCACAACCCGCTGGACTCCTGCGATCCTTCTGCCTCAGCCTTCCATGTAGCCAGAACTACAGGCATGTGCCATCACGCTTGGCTAATTTATGATTGATTGTAGAGACAAGGTCTCGCCAAGTTGCCCGGGTGGGTCTCGAACCCGTGGGCTCAGGCAATCCTCTCACTTTGGCCTCCCAAAGTGCTGGGATTACAGGCTAGGCCACTAAGTCCGGCCAAGATGAGGCTTTATTATAACAAACTTTCTGTTAAGAGATCCACAAATTTTGAGTTCACAGCAAGTCCTCTAACTTTATACTACCCCCCAAGAATATTTTCTGTTCTAGATCTTTTGCAGTCCCATGTCAGTTTTTTAGAATCAGCTGGCAAGTTCTACCCCCTACCCTCAAAATGCCTGCTTGGGTTTGGATTTCACTGAGTCTGTAGACCCACTTAGGGAGAATGGATTTCTTAACAATATTGAATGTTCCAATCTATATGCATGGTACATTGAAAAGTCTGCTTTTCGCAGTTACTGTACTGAAGCTTTTGTGTATGTCATATGCTGAAATCTTATGACTTATCTATAGGTAAAAATAGGAAAGAGTCTGAATAATCTTAAGGTTTGTTTTTTGTTTTTGTTAACCTCATGAGCTAAAGTTTAAGCCAAATTCTTTGGATTTAGCTTATCAATGCTTTTGAAATGGGGTCAGGTATTTGTGTTGGCAGATTTTAGGCTCAAAATAGGGCTTCATAAAGAACTGTATTAACATACCCACAAAATTAGTACTTCAGTGAGACCCTGATACAGAAAATGACAGAATGTGTAATGTGTTATCTGGTTCTTCCAATTTCCTGCCCTTTACCTCTTTGACAATGCATGAAGGTCCTTGGTGCAGGTCACAATGTGGATTCTGATTTGCATACCTGTTTGGACTCAGCTGACCTGTTTGCACGCAGCTGCTGCCTGTCTTTTTTGGTTTCTTTCTGGCTCTACCTTTGCCTGCTCCAACTTAGTAGTGGGGCTCTTCCTGGTGTCTGTCCTCAGCTTCGCTCCCTTTTGGCTTTTTCTCCCTCTGTCATGCTGACATCTTGGAGCAACCATGCTTGTGGTGGAACGTGAAGAAATGAAACATTTTCTCAAATATGTAGAAACACACAGATTTTTAATCTAGATCTAAATAAACATTCAGACGTTGGGTAGGTAGCTCCTAGGTAATTGGTTTAAGTTCTTAGTTTTCTTATAGTTACTTGGCATTTTATGGATAGGCTTAACACTGAAAGAACTAGGTAAGTCTGCAAAGAACAGTATGTTATCCTTTGAGAGAGGCACCATTTTACACATAAGCAAACTGACTTGGAGAAGTTATGCAACTTGTTCAAGGTCCCAGAGCTACTGAGCATCAGAATCAGGACTTAAGCCCATGCTCTCTGACTCCAGACCTCATGCACTTATTCAGCCTCCCTAGTTCACAGCTAATATCCAAGAGCAGACATTCTGAGTCCCAGCTCTTGATTCAACTTAATGATTTCAGTCCTGACTGTATATTGGAATCATCTGGGAAACTTGTAAGACTTACGGATGCCAAATATTGTGATTCATTGGCCTGAGGGGGGACACAGTTATTGATATTAATCACCAGTCCCTCCCTCTCAACTCCTACCAGTAGTTCTAATGTACAGCCACTGTGGACACCCCATGCAGGTGGGTCATTCAGGGCAGTGCCCTCAAACACAAAGAGAAAGGGAAGCAGAATCCAGCTGCCAGGTTCACAGTTTACAGGACCTTAATCACACAACAACTGTCATTCATCTACAGTAGGGAACAACAGAGTATTATCTCACAAGCCCCACTATATTTAGCGACTAGGAGGAAGCCACTGGAGTCGAATAGTTCTTTGGAGGGGGGCTGTCTTAGCTGGGGAGGGAGGTAGGGAAAGCACAGAAACTGAGGATAGTAGGGGGTCCTCAGTGCTTGCAAGTCATCAAAGGGTGGTGTTAGCCTGGTGCTGCTCATGGCAACAACTTGGGAATCGCCAGGTGGGAGGATGATCATTTCCATGCAGTGTCTGAAGCACTCAGCAATAGTCTGCCATTCCCAGTATCCTGAAAGGAAAACTTCAGGCATAGGCATAAGTGAATGAACTAATTAGCAGTGAAGTATTAGCCTAAGAGTATTTGTTAAGACAGCTAGTGTGGATGCTTACATGTTCAATTCTCAACAGAATGGTGCATCTCACCAGTTCAAAGAGCTGCACTTTTCATCATTTCGCCCCAATGTTTAATCTGATTCTACTCCGATTTCTCAGATGCTATATGTAGATTGTGACATAAGCAACTTGTTCTAAGATGGAAATTATTAAAGAAATGCACACAAAGCATCCATAAGCCAACTTAAAATTGTACCTAGTTTAAAAAGCGCTTGAGGGAAAAAGCATATGGAGGTGGCTTGTAGCTGAAATGGTTGCGGGCGCTGGATGTGGGGAGATACCACCGAGAGCCATTGCACATGTTAATAAGGATGTCCTTTCTCTGCAGGATAATCGCCCATAGTAGTAACATTCAAGAGTGAAAACAACATATTCATAAATATCTTCCCATTAAAAATAGCCCACCCAATAGCACTTTGCTGAATAAAAACAAATGTCATCTCACACACCTAGTCTGCTGGAAGCTTCTCAAAGAAAACATTCATTTCTAGTGGTAGACTTACTTTTCCCTGTACAATTGGGAAGAAATATCTTAATTTGGAAGTCAAAGATAGAAACAAATTTTAAAATCTATCATTTTTTTTTCACTTGTACTTTAAATTAGGGAAGCATAGTAAAGAAATGAAAATAAGTCTTCCTAACTAAAATCAGGTTTCTCAGCATGGCAAGGAAATTTAGAATATGTATCTTAAGAGCCATAAGTCATAGGAAGAAAGAGAACCATTAACATCTTAGACACAAATATGCTAGAAGCTTTAGGTAACAGTGTCTTACTTTTAGGTAATACTTAGTCATGATTTTGCAACTGGGATTCCATTTTATGTTCTTAAGATACCAGAAAGGGTCACACTTAGGGTTGGTGTCAAGGTAGCAGCTGTGACTGAGTTGATCAGAGCAGAGACCTGGACCCAAGAACAAGCAAGGGAGAGCAATCAGGCTGCAGCATAAACCAAGAGGTCAGTGAGATGGATGTCGAGCCCAGGACTCCAGTGCTTGAATCAGGATGGCGGGAAGGTCACAATGGTCCAGCAGGTCTCCAAAGGCCATGGCACCCTAGGACTAGAACTCAAGTCAATATACACATATTAATGAGCCCAGTATTATAGATTCTAAGTCCATCCAAGTTGCTGCGAAGTTCATAATTTCATCCTTTTTTATGGCTGCGTAATATTCCATCATGTATACGTACCACATTTTTTTAATCCAGTCCTCTTTCAGTGGGCAGCACGGTTGGTTCTATGTTTTTGCTATTGTGAATAAGGCTACAATAAACATGCATGTGCAGGTATCTTTTTCTTATTTTTTTCTTTAAAAAATTTTTTTGGTTATCTTTTTCATAGAGTGATTTGAGTTTCTCTGGGTATATTCCCAGCAGGGGGATTGTGGGGTCATACAGAAAGTCGATTTTTAGATCTTTTAGGGATTGCCACACTGTTTTCCTCAGAAGTTGTTCTTAATAGTTTACACTCCCACCAACAGTGTAGAAGTGTTCCCTTTTCCCTGCATCCTCTCCAGTATCTGTTGTTTTTGGAGTTATTAATGATGACTATCACAGAAACAAAGAACTGAGCACCACATGTTCTCACTCATAAGTGGACCTTGAACAGTTTTCATAATACTATAAGAAAGGGATTGGCGGTAGTGGGAAACGACCAGAGGAGAGGGAGTGGGATTGGCAGAAGTGGGAAACTGCTGGGGTGGGGGGCACACCTCATCAACAAGGGGACCTGCATAATGAACTCTTGTATACCTAACCCTGAATTGTACCCCACATCTTTAAAATTAAAAAGCAAAAGCAAAAAACAGTGAGCCCATACCCCTAACAGCAGCTGCTTGCTTTTGGCCAGCAGTGAGCTGAGGCTCTTCCTGGCAGGAGTGGGGAATTGGCCTCAGCGCTTCACAGGCAGGGTCCCAGGCTGCAGGTGGAATGCTCTCTGGGATGGAAAGCCTTTGAGCCCTAGATCTTGCTCTTTCCACTGGACCACATGAATCACTAAAAACACTGCTCTCGCACGCGCTCTCTCTCCCTCACTTCCTCCCTCTCCCTTCCTTACCTCCTCTCTCCCTGCCTTTCTCTCTCCCGCATCTCTTTCTCCCTGTCTCTCTCTCTCTCTCTCTCTCTCCCTCTCCTTGCTCCTTGCCTCTCTCTCCTTGTCTCTTTCTCTTTCTCTTCCCCCACACTTGCCTCTCTCTCTCTTTCTCCCTGTCCTGTTCAAATAAAAATAGTATAGAAATGCCTCCCAGATAGCCCTCTTGGTAAATGAGTTCTTTCACACGTAAAGTTCACCTTCTGAGTGCTGAAGCTTTATTTTTTGCATCATGGGATGGAAATTGCCTCAGTCCTTACCTCTTGCAATAGGCATTCTGCCTCCTCTTGGAGTATGGGTAATGCCCACAGACTGCATCACTCTGGACTGCTGTTTAGGACATGGGGAAAAAACTTTTTGTTCAAGGAATACCTTTATCTGCACTTCTAAGTCTTTTGGGTCTGATTGATAGGTAGTGTGAGGTATTTGCATGGCCCGTGGTGGTCACGTGACAGGCTGGCCCTCATCCCCGGGGGTGGGTTTCATCTCCTCCTCTCATTTATGTCCCTTATGATTGAATCAGTGGGGACTGCTGTCGTTTTATATTTTTATCTCCTCTGGAGTGTCTACCTAAAATAATCAAAAGGGTCAGAATCTGGCTTAAAGATAATGTACTCAAGTGCAAAGTTTAAGGATGGCCGCCTGGGAAGCACAGATCCCAAAGAAGGGAAGTCAGTGATCAAAGTGGAGAAGTTTGAGATCTTTTATATGGACAAAGTTTGGGGAAGCTTAACAGAATCCCCACATCTTCCTTTTTTTTTTTTTTTTTTTGGGTTGGCGTCTCATTCTGTCGCCCAGACTGGAGTGCAGTGGCACAACCCTGGCCACCGCAGCCTCGACCTGCTGGGCTCTGGCGATCCTTCCGCTTCAGCCTTCCAAGTAGCTGGAACTACAGGTGCGCGCTACCATGCCCGGCTAATTTTTTAATTTATTGTAGAGATGAGGTCTCGAACCCGCAGGCTCAGGCAGTTTACTCACCTCGGCCTCCCAAAGCACGGGATTACAGGCTGAGCCATCAAGCCCGACCCCCCACATCTTTCTATATCAGGCTTAATGCATAGTTAAAACGATCTGATTAGTCGAGGTGGTCTTTTCTTTTGGGAAAGGTATATTTAACATTACTGAAGATGTAACAGTCATGAGGCCTTTGGTGCCATCTGGTCTGAGTTAGGTACAGGACAATAAAGGAGGCAGCTAATCTACAACAGAGATGGGTGATTGGAAGGGGAGGAGGTCTGGCTCTGGTCTCCTCTAGTTTTATTTACAGAACAAAAACAATGAGGAAAAGAGTTAATCTACAATCAGAGAAGCAGAATTACAAACATGTTCCATGACACAGTCTCCAGGGCTTAATTTCCCCCGTGGCATGATAAATTTAGAGGGTCCTGACATTTTATTTCTTTTACAAGAGTGATGGTAATGTCTTCAGCTACTAAGGAATAACTATGGGAAAGATTTTCAGGTATTTTTTGCTCTACTTAACAAAGTGGGTAGAATGATTTTCATATCGGATATTTATAAGACCCTTTAATAATGGCCCCAGAATTATCATTTTTTCTGGCATGATTATAAGAACTACCCCACCCCCTGGCCAGCCATTACCTTTAGGAATCAATTGCCAGCTGGGAATCACCTGCCCTGCCTCACTTTCTTTCCTTCACTATGTGGGTTGCCGTGTTGCTGCTAATGACCTGAGTGAGAAGATCTCCATAAGCTTAGGCTCCCTTTCTCTCCTCCCCCTGCCCACTATTGAAAGCTCAGACCAGCTCACACATACTCATGCTTGCAGGGGGCAGGCTGCTAACGAGAGTCAGTGAAGCAGCTCTGTAGGGCAGTGGGGAGACAGTACTTGAGGGTGGGGCCCTGTTTCTCATACACTAGCCTTTTGTTACCAAGTAGAGTGGTGGACATGGAGTTGTCAGAAATCCTGATTTTTCAAGGAAATTTGTGTGAAAAACATTTCTGTGTGATTTTTCCTGATTTTTAAAACATTATGTGGACTGCAAGTTTTAAATCCTGTACCCATGTGGACTTTGGCTGGTGGCTAGAGCCACCTCAATCTAGTGCTGAGGACCCAGGTGTCTGCTCCTGGCACAGACGCACACTGCACTGCCAGGTCATCGGTGCCCGCATGTCCTTCACTGAGAAGGCCTAGGCTGGTCTGACCTCACCCCCTGGACGGGGAGTCTGCTGCGATGCCCTTCACCATGGCCTGCAGGAACCCAGAAGTTTCACTACGACTGTGCAGCTGAAGAGAAAGAGTGTGTATAGGGGGAATGGAGGCAGAACTAGAGTAGTGTCAGAGGTTTTAGAATAGACTTTGGGAGTGGAAATTTGGACTGTTTTTCCAAGAAAATAATGAAAGCACACGTTCTGTTATTATCGCTTTCATTCCATCACCTGCCTCCTTACATAGGTTTTTAAGCAATGGCTTTGATATTTAACAGCTATGTTTAATTTTTTTTTGGCAGGGGGGAAAGGTATTTCTAAGCTCCAAAGACCTGAATGATAAATAAACTTTTGGGGGTCTACTTGAGTTCTGTGTATGGATACTCCTTATTCTGTCACAAGGATGTACGGTATATAATTTAAAACAACTTATCAATACTGAAGAATGAGATATGAATGCCCCCCCCAGTCTGTTTCTAACCTTTTCATTCATTTATAAGATGCAAATGCCTCAAATACTTTAATAGATTTATATTTTATTCTTGGGTTGAGCCAGTTGTCTCTTTGAGAGTTTTCAACTCACTAAAGAATTCAGGCACAAAGAAGACAATGCCTTCTGAAAGTCTTGCTAAAAAGGAGAGGCTGACCTGGAATATCACTGGTATTACATGCTATAAATTGCTGTGGTGGTAAAATACAATTGGTATATCACATTTCTTAGTTTCAGGGAGTAACTTGGTCTTATGTTTGGCCCTATATGAAAGACTAACAAAGCATGGTGTTCACTTGTTTTCAAATAAAATATAACCAGAAACTCCAAATCTCTCCTAAAAGATGGAGACTTATTTTTAGCTAAAGTCAAAAGCGAAAGTATCTATTAGTAGTTTCCACATTGTAATATTGAGTTTTCCAATAGAAATTGCTCTTCAATTAATGTGGATGCAGTTAACTTGCCTGTAAAATGGGTATAACGTAGGGTGGGTTTGAGTATTAAATGAGATAGAATATATAACTCATCATAGTATCTGGTACACAGACAACTTTTAGTATATGGTAGCTAATATTGATATTATTATTTGTTTGGTAGCTAATATTGATATTATTATTTGTTTGGGTCAGGACTGCCTAGGCCATTCTAGGACTCTGGCTTTTATTTTTTATTTTTCTGTCTTGTGTCTTTTGTTATACACTTTACATCTTTATTGATATATAATTTACATACCACAAAATTCACTGATTTAAAGTATTCAATTCAGGCCGGGTACAGTGGCTTATGCCTATAATCCCAGCACTTTGAGAGACCAAGGCAGGAGGGTTGCTTGAGCCCAGGAATTAAAGACCAGCCTCAGCAACATAGTGAGACATCATCTCTACAAAAATCTAAAAATTAGCTGAGTGTAGTGGCATGCAACAGTAGTCCCAGCTAATCAGGAGGTCGAGAAAGAAGGATTGCTTGAGCTCAGGAAGTTCAGGCTGTGGTGAGCCATGATCATGACATTGCCCTCTAGCCTAGGCAACAGTGAGCCACTGACTCAAATAAATAAATAAGTATACAATTCAACAGTCAATTCACAGTTGTGCAGCATCAGCACAATTAAGTGGAAAATATTTTCATCACCTCTGAAGGAAACCTTATATACTTGTTAGTGGTCACTCACTATTTCTCTTTCCCACATTTTCCTACAACCCCAGGCTACCACTTTCTATCTCTATAGATTTGCTTGTTCTGGACATTTCATGTAGATGAAATTATATAATATGTGGTCTTTTATGATTGACTTATTTCACTTAGTATTTATATTTTCAAGGTTTATCTATGTTGTAGCATGAATCAATACTTTTTTTTTTTTTTGAGTTGGAGTCTCACTCTGTCACCCAGACTGGAGTGCAGTGGTCGCTCCTGGCCACCGCAGCCTCGACCTGCTGGGCTCCGGCGATCCTTCCGCCTCAGCCTTACAAGTGACTGGAACTACAGGCGCGCGCTACCACACCCGGCCAATTTTTTGATTTATTGTAGAGATGAGGTCTCGCTGCCCAGGCGAGTCTTGAACCCGCGGGCTCAGGCAATCCACTCACCTCAGCCTCCCAAAGGCGCGGGATGACAGGCTGAGCCACCGAGCCTGGCTCATGTATCAATACTTTACTCCTTCTATTGCCACATATTGCTGAAAATAGGCCGCATATATATTTATATATGTATTTTTGAGTCAGGGTCTCACTTTTTTTCCCAGGCTGGAGTGCAATGGCACAATCATGGCTCACTGCAGCTTTGAGCTCCTGGGCTCAGGCAATCCTTCCACCTCAGCCTTCTGAGTAGCTGGGGCTACAAGCACACTCCACAATGCCTGGCTAATTTTTCTATTTTTTTATAGGGATGGGGTCTTGCTTTGTTGTCCAAGCTATGATACTACACTATATTTTTTTATTCTTTCATCAGTTGATGGACGTTTGGGTTGTTTCTACTTTTTTGGTTATTACGAATAATGTTGCAGTGAGCATTCATTCAAGTCTTGGTGTGGATATATGCTTTCATTTCTCCAGGGATGGAATTCTATTTTTTACATATGTTATGTTGTATATCTTCTTTGCGAAATAACTACTAAAATTCTTTGCCTATTTTGTAGTTGGGTTAATTATCTTTTATTATGGAGTTATAAGAGTTGTTTATATATTCTGGAGATGAGTCCCTTATCACATATATGATTCACAAATATTTTCAATGCATTCTGCAGGTTGTCTTGGTATTACTTTTTATTAACCAATAAGTCTGAACTGTCTTATTCATGTATAATGAATGCATTCATGCCCTTCTAACCGATTCACGCAAACTTTCTTTCCAGCCTCTGTTTCTCTACCTCGCTCTTCAGTCTGTCCACGAGCCCCTTCAGGTCCCTGAGGAATACCTGAAGCCATATGACTTTATCCAAGACAAGAACAGGCATCACTACGCAGGAATGGTGTCTCTTATGGATGAAGCCGTAGGAAATGTCACTGCAGCTTTAAAAAGTCATGGGCTCTGGGACAACACGGTGTTCATCTTCTCCACAGGTAGGTCTGTCAATAGGGAAATCATCTCTTGGTACAACACAGGACATGGTATTCGATAAGTTGAATGAAGACAGATTGGAGCAGTTAGCATTTCCTTATTAAAATGAATGCGAACTGCAATGGTGGAGACGTGATCATAGTAGATGGAAAGATGTGTCTAAGGAAAAAGAATCGTGGCATCTTCGTTCAGATGCCACAATATTCTGGTAGTAAGCTTATAAACAAGCACTTGCTTCCCAAGTAAATACGAGTGAGCCTCATTCACGTGTAGGCTGCTGGGTGGCGAGTCCTAGAGGGCTTGTCCCTAGCTCTCTGCAGCCAGCCATCCTGCATGGCCAGGATGCCTGCTGGCTGGAGGCGGCTTGGTGTTGGTGCAGAGAGACAGGTGGCAGCATGATGGAGATGGGTAAGCAATGGAGTTGTTTAAATCCAGGCTCAATAGCCAAGTTTTTTTGTATTAAAATTATTTTCTGACAATAAAAGTCATATATATTGATTATAGAAAACTCAGCAAAGATGGGAGAAGGAAAACTCATAATTCCACCCCCCAGGGGCAACTTTTGCAAATCATTTTCACCATGGCAATGCCATCCTGATCCCTAATCTGTTACATATGTGATTTTTCTCCCTTCTCAGTTGACAGTTTCCTTATAGTCCACCATGATGTGCTTTGTTTATTCATGGTGCTGAGTACTCAGAGAGCACTTCCAATCTGAAATGCAGATCATTTTGTTATGGGAAATTTTCTCATGATTTATTTTGGAATTGTTTGGCCCTCCGACCCACATTTCTCCTATTCTCTCTTTACAGACCTTTTGTTATTTAGTTTTTAGATCAGTCCTCTAATTTTCTTAGTTTTTTTTTTTTTTTTCTCTCCTATTTTGATGGAGATGGGTAAGCAATGGAGTTGTTTAAATTCAGGCTTATTTTTCTTGTACTATTTGGGAAATTTTCTTATTGCTTTGTAAACTTTCCACTAAATGTATTTAAACCACCATGTTTTTTAATTACCCAGGAACTCTTTCATATTTTCTGATAATTCCATTTTTTGTAGAGTTCTGTTTTTACTTTATAGATGTAATAACTTATTTCTCCAAAGCCTGTGCTCTTAACCACTAATTTTATGTGTGTATGTGTTTATACATATATATGCACGTATATGTGTATAGAATTGTTTAAAAAGTTGCTTGTATTCCCAGCATTGTCTCTCTTCCTTTTCAGTTCTTTTTTTTTTTTTTTCAGTTTGTTTGCATCTTTGTTTTAGTCTGTCTTTCATGAGAGTGGTTTTGTCAAATGCCTGGTGATCCTTAGCTAAAATTTAAACATTTGATTGGAAGCTCCACAGTGTGAAGTCAGGGCTTGTTATCTGGTTTTGTTTTCTAGTGAGTGTGAAGAGGCTGAGTAGCTTACCCCAGGTCACACAGCCAGTCAGAGGCAGGCTTCATTGTTTCTGGCTCCACTGCAGTATCCTGCCTCTGAGATGATGATCTTGATGTTCTTATTGGACCTCATGATACAAGGGAGCTCTCCCCATAGTGTGCTGCAATTCTGATCTACTTAGGAGCCTGGGCAAACCTGGGGGCAGTGTCTAACCTGAGCAGCATTGTTCAGTAGCTTTGGTGCTATTCAAATACTATAATTTTCTGAGTGTGTCCTGCTGTGAAAAAAGTTGAGTATAAGATAAAATTTGTTTTTCCTCCAAAACTTACTCTTCAGGAAAAAAAGGGTGGAGGGGGGAGGCATTGTAAACTTAAATGTTTACGAGGTCTCTCAGATTCTGGAAGTTCTTCTCAATTTAATTTATTTTGAACAGCCTGGTATAGCATTTTGATCAGTGCTGTTTTTCAATGCCCACAGAGTTCTCTAGAAGGAATGAATAAAAAAGAGGCCAGGATATTTAACATTGATCTGGCAAAATTATTTCTGGGAAATGGCCTCACAGTTGCAAGAATGGGAAGTCATAAGTTTATAAAACCAGCCTTTGTTGTAGCAATCACAATTACACAATTTCAGGACAAAGGATTTCCTGAAGTGAAAGTGGAGTCACATGTCCTACGTGGGCTGAAAAGTGCTCAGACAGAGAGAAGCTGGGCACTCTGGAACACAGTGCTGAAAATCTCCAAGTGGCTCTTATGACATCCAAGATGCTGGTGTCAAGAATGTATGGGAACAGATGGAATAGAGCTTTTCATGATATGTGAGAATGGAAAAGCATTTTAAGATCAATATTTATTTTATGATGTGATTTTAAATGTGTATACAGAATTGCACCTTAAAGCTGAGTTTTGACTGTTTTATAAACATCTATAATATTTTACTTATTTAAGGTAGCAGAAATAATATTTGGAGATTCTCACTGAGAAGATAGGGATTACCTTATGATGCAGTCGTCCTATATTCTGACACTATGTTTTACATCAGTAGACATGTTAGACCCTGCACCATCTTTGCTTTGTTGGGTGAAATCCAACCTGATTGTGGGCATGTAATTTTATTACAGTGCTGAATTCAGTTTGCTAGGGCTTTATTTAGGATTTTTGCATCATTTTGGAAGTGAAAGTGGATTGGTAATTTCTTTTTTGTCTGTTGGGTTCTGTTGTCTTGGTTACTTACCTCATAAAATAATTTGGATAGTTTTTTTCATCTTTTTCTATGTTCTAGAACAGTTTTAGAACGTTTGAAAGATCTCTCTGGTTAGGCTGGAAACTTCTTGGAAGGCATTTAAAAAAATTATCTCCTTAGTTTAAATTTTTTGCTGAGTTGTATCTAGGTGTGGGTCTTCAAAATGTTGTAAAATCAATTTGCCTGAAATACAATGAGCCCTTTGAACTGCACACTAAGATTATTCTTCAATCCAGGAAGTTTTCCTTGTTCATATTTTTGCTTATTGCTTTTGTCCTGCTTGATTTATGTCTCAAAAATATCTTTCATTAATAGACTGAATCACTGATTCAGCTTTTCTCTCATCTTTCTCAGCTGTTTTGTCCATTTTCTTAGCATTCTGGAGCTCCTCTGCATTACCAGTTAGACATTTTTGCCATTTAAAATCTTCTCCTTACTATCTCCAATGTAGATTATTATTGATTGTATTTTTAGTTTTTTGAAGGCCTTTCATTGCCTCAATCAGTTCCCTTTTCTCCTAAGCTTGTTAGTGACCACTGTTCATTAAATACTGACTACATGCCCAGGCCCAGTTCTAGTGTTTTTCCTGTACTTTTTTTGGTTGGTTGATGTTACTGTTCACATTGTAAGCATTAGAGCTCAAAATAACCTTGTGAGATAGGTTTCTTTTAACCAATGAGAAATCAAATCTTCTTTTTCTTTTTTTTTTTTTTTGAGTTGGAGTCTCACTCTGTCGCCCAGACTGGAGTGCAGTGGCCACTCCCATCCACCGCAGCCTCGACCTGCTGGGCTCTGGCGATCCTTCTGCCTCAGCCTTCCAAGTAGCCGGAACTACAGGCGCATGCTACCACACCTGGCTAATTTTTGATTTATTGTAGAAATGAGGTCTCGCCAAGTTGCCCAGGTGGGTCTCGAACCCGCGGGCTCAGGCAATCCACTCACTTCAGCCTCCCAAAGGCGCGGGATTACAGGCTGAGCCACCGAGCCGGCTCAAATCTTCTTTAACCAACCACTTAAATTGAGAGATTTGCTCAAGGCCACACATCTAACAAATGAAAGACCAGAATTCAAATCCTGATCTACTTGAGGAACCTAATTGATGGTCCTGTCACATCTCATCCCATTGTCCTTCATCCCACTTTTGACTTTCTACACTTCTCTTCACAGAACCTTTCCTTTTCCTGAATCTTTCTGAGTAGAACTTTTCTAAAATCCTATTTTGATAGGAAACCATTGCCAGCTATATGGCACTTCCTCTGAGTACAGGTAATGAAAGATCTGCCCACATGGAATGCGTGGCCATCTCTTGACCTCTGGTCACTTTTTCCTTCTCAGATCTGTAGCTTGAGGTCAGGTTGATGGGCACAATTCACTGAGTTCCCATGGCTTTTAGGCATTAAGTGTCCTATACTCTATGGAACCTAGCTGAAACATTTTCCTTGCTTTTGGCTACCTGATTCTTTGACAGGCTAAAAGAACCCCAGACTTCTTTCTCCATACCTTAAGGCCTTACTTTTGGGGACACTTCCCAGGATACAGTGTACTCCATTGCCAAACCCTTCTCTTCCCCTGACCATTGTCCTATGGGAGTTGTGATCTCTAACTACATATAAAAGTTGAGGAGGTAGACTGGGTGTGGTGGCTCACACCTGTAGTCCCAGCCCTTTGGGAGACTGAGGTGGGAGGATCAATTGAGGCCAGGAGTTTGAGAAGAGCCTGGGCAACATAGTGAGATCCCTGATTCTACAACAACAGCAACAAACTTAGCCAGGTATAGTGGGGCACACTTATAGTCCTAGCTACTAAGGAGGCTGAGGCCCAGGAGTTTGACTTTACAGTGAGTATGATGGCACCACTGTACTCCAGCCTGGGCAATGGACTGAGACCCTGTCTCTACAAAGAAATAAAAAAAAAAGAAGCGGGGGAGGTAACAATCGTCTGGTAATGTCAAAAATTAGCACCGTCCCACTCTCAATTCCCACCGTCCCACTTCTGCCTTTTTTCAGGTGGGTGAGGTGACTCTGTGTCATGAGGCAAAGCAGGGTAGGTCAGCCCTTGTTTCCTCCACCCATTTTCTTTGGCCTTATCGTTTACAGAAATGTCTTCACAATTCTGGCTTTGTAAGCCATGTGTCCATTTTAGTTTTTCATATGGGGATGGACTTTCTTCTTGTTCTGTGAATGTTGTTTTAGCAGGATAGTGGTTAAGAGAAACAGCACTAGTGGCTGTCAGCCTGTCACCATTGCTGCTCTTCATAGTGGGTAAACTTCAAGACTTTTTTTTAATAGGAAACCATTGCCAACAGACCCAGAAATCTGCATGGAAATCTCACCTGGAGTAAGATGAGTTGCAATGAGAGCCAACTCTTGAGCAACTAG